TCCCTATTTCCATGACCTCGCCCCATTCTCCCTCTTTCCATCACCCTGCCCCATTCTCCCTCTTTCCATCACCCCACCCCCCCTCTCCTCCTCTTTCCATCACTCCGCCCCGTTCTTCCTCTTTCCATCACCGCGCCCCGTTCTCCCTGTTTCGATCACCCGCCCCGTTCTCCCTTTCTATCACCCGCCCCGTTCTCCCGCTTTCCATCACCCCGCCCCATTCTCCCGCTTTCCATCAACCCGCCCCATTCTCCCGCTTTCCATCACCCCGCCCCATTCTCCCGCTTTTCATCACCCCGCCCCATTCTCCCACTTTCCATCACCCCGCCCCATTCTCCCTCTTTCCATCACCCCGCCCCATTCTTCCTCTTTCCATCACCTCACCCCGTTCTCCACTTTCCATCACCCCGCCCCGTTTTCCATTTCCGTCACCCCGCCTTCTTCTCCCTCTCTCCATCACCCGCCCCGGCCTTCCTCTTTCCATCACCCCGCCCCATTCTCCCTCTTTCCATCACCCCGCCCCATTCTCCATCTATCCATCACCCCGCCCCATTCTCCCTCTTTCCATCACCCCGCCCCATTCTCCGCTTTCCATTGCCCGCCCCATTCTCCCTTTCCATTGCCCCCGCCCATTCCTGCTTTCCATGACCACCGCCTCGTTCTCTGCTTCCATGACCCCGCCCCGTTCTCCCGCCTTCCATCACCCCGCCCCATTCTCCCGCTTTCCATCAACCCGCCCCATTCTCCCTCTTTCATCACCCCGCCCCATTCTCCCGCTTTCCATCACCCCGCCCCGTTCTCCCGCTTTCCATCACCCCGCCCCATTCTCCTGCTTTCCATCACCCCGCCCCATTCTCCGCTTTCCATCACCCCGCCCCATTCTCCCGCTTTCCATCACCCTGCCCCATTCTCCCGCTTTCCATCACCCAGCCCCATCTCTGCATTCCATCGTCCCGCCCCATTCTCCCGCTCTCCATCACCCCGCCCAATTCTCCCGCTTTCCATCACCCCGCCCCTTTCTCCTGGTTTCTATCGCCCCGCCCCATTCTCCTGCTTTCCATGACCCGCCCATTCTCCCACTTTCCATCACCCCGCCCCATTCTCCCTCTTTCCATCACCCCGCCCCATTCTCCCTCTGCCTATAAACCGCCCCATTCTCCCTCTGTCCATCACCCCGCCCCATTCTCCCTCTTTCCATCACCCCGCCCCATTCTCCCGCTTTCCATCACCCCGCCCATTCTCTCGCTTTCCATCACCCCGCCCCATTCTCCCGCATTCCATCACCCCGCCCCATTCTCCCTCTTTCCATCACCCCGCCCTATTCTCCCTCTTTCCGCCCCCGCCCCATTCTCCCTCTTTCCATCACCCCGCCCCATTCTCCTCTTTCCTCACCCCGCTCCATTTCTTTTTCTTTCCATCACCCCCCTCATTCTCCCGCTTTCCATCGTCCCGCCCCATTCTCCCTTTTCCATCGCCCCGCCCCATTCTCCCGCTTTCCATCACCCCGCCCCCATTCTTCCGTTTTTCGTCACCCCGCCCCATTCTCCCTCTTTCCATCACCCCGGCCCATTCTCCCTCTTTCCATCACCCCGCCCCATTCTCCCTCTTTCCATCACCCGCCCCACTCTCCCGCTTCCATCACCCGCCCATTCTCCCTCTTTCCATCACCCCGCTCCATTCTCCCTCTTTCCATCACCCCGCCCTATTCTCCCTCTTTCCATCACCCCGCCCCATTCTCCCGCTTTCCATCACCCCGCCCAATTCTCCCGCTTTCCATCACCCCCCGTCATTCTCCCTTTTTTCGTCACCCCACCCCCATTCTCCCGCTTTCCATCACCCCGCCCCGTTCTCCCGCTTTCCATCACCCCGCCCCATTCTCCCTCTTTCCATCACCCCGCCCTATTCTCCCTCTTTCCGTCACCCGCCCCATTCTCCTCTTTCCATCACCCGCCCCATTCTCCCGTTTTCCATCACCCCGCCCCATTCTCCTTCTTTCCATCACCCCAGACCATTCTCCTATTTTCATGACCACGCCCCATTCTCCCTCTTTCCATTACCCCGCCCCATTCTCCCTCTTTCCATCACCCCGCCCTATTCTCCCGCTTTCCATCACCTTCCCCTCTTCCTCTTTCCATCACCCGCCCCGTTCTTCCTCTTTCCATCACCCCGTCCCGTTCTCCCTTTCCATCACCCACCCCGTTCTCCGCTTTCCATCACGCCGCCCCATTCTCCCGCATTCCATCACCCCGCCCCATTCTCCCGCTTTCCATCACCCCGCCCATTCGCCTGCTTTCCATCACCCCGCCCCATTCTCCCGCTTTCCATCACCCCGCCCAATTCTCCCTCTTTCCATCACCCCGCCCCGTTCTCCCTCTTTCCATCACCCCGCCCCGTTCTCCCTCTTTCCATCACCCCGCCCTATTCTCCCGCTTTCCATCACCCCGCTCTTATTCTCCCTCTCTCCATCACCCCGCCCGTTCTCCCTCTTTCCATCACCCCGCCCCATTCTCCCTCTTTCCATCACCCCGGCCCATTCTCCCTCTTTCCATCACCCCGCCCCATTCTCCCTCTTCCATGACCCCGGCCCATTCTCCCTCTTTCCATCACCCCGCCCCATTCTCCCGCTTTCCATCGCCCCGCCCCATTCTCCCGCTTTCCATCGCCCCGCCCCATTCTCCCGCTTTCCATCACCCCGCCCCATTCTCCCGCTTTCCATCACCCCCACAGCATTCTCCCGTTCCATCACCCCGCCCCATTCTCCCTCTTTCCATCGCCCCGCCCATTCACCCTTTCCATCACCCCGCCCTGTTTTCCCTCTTTCTATCACCCCGCCCCATTCTCCCTCTTTCCATCACCCCGCCTCATTCTCCTGCTTTCATCCACCCCGCCCCGGTCTCCCTCTTTCCATCACCCCGCCCCGTTCTCCCTCTTTCCATCACCCCGCCCCGTTCTCCCCTTTTCGTCACTGCGCCCCGTTCTCCTCTTTCCATCACCCCGTCCCGTTCTCCCTCTTTCCATCACCCCGCCCCGTTCTCCCTCTTTCCATCACCCCGCCCCATTCTCCCTCTTTCCATCACCCCGCCCCATTCTCCCTCTTTCCATCACCCCGCCCCATTCTCGCGCTTTCCATCACCCCCCCTATTCTCCCGTTTTCCATCACCCCGGCCCATTTCTCCCGCTTTCCATCACCCCGCCCCATTTCTCCTCATTCCCTCACCCCGGCCAATTCTCCCTCTTTCCATCACCCCGCCCCATTCTCCCTCTTTCCATCACCCCGCCCCATTCTCCTTCTTTCCATCACCCCGCCCCATTCTCCCTCTTTACATTACCCCGCCCCATTCTCCCTCTTTCCATCACCCCACCCCATTCTCCCTCTTTCCATCACCCCGCCCCATTCTCCCTCTTTCCATCACCCCGCCCCATTCTCCCTCTTTCCATCACCCCGCCCCCCTCTCTTCCTCTTTCCATCACCCCGCCCCGTTCTCCCTCTTTCGATCACCGAGCCCCGTTCTCCTTGTTTCGATCACCCCGCCCCGTTCTCTCTTCTATCACCCCGCCCCGTTCTCCCGCTTTCCATCACCCCGCCCCTTTCTCCCGCTTTCCATCACCCCGCCCCATTCTCCCGCTTTCCATCACCCCGTCCCATTCTCCCGCTTTCCATCACCCCGCCCCATTCTCCCTCTTTCCATCACCCTGCCCCATTCTCCCTCTTTCCATCACCTCGCCCCATTCTCCCTCTTTCCATCACCCCGCCCCGTTCTCCCTCTTTCCATCACCCCGCCTCATTCTCCCTCTTTCCATCACCCCGCCCCGTTCTCCCTCTTTCCATCACCCCGCCCCATTCTCCCTCTTTCCATCACCCCGCCCCATTCTCCAGCTTTCCATCACCCCGCCCCATTCTCCCTCTTTCCATCACCCCGGCCCATTCTCCCTCTTTCCATCACCCCGCCCCATTCTCCCGCTTTCCATCGCCCCGCCCCATTCTCCCGCTTTCCATCGCCCCGCCCCATTCTCCCGCTTTCCATGACCCCGCCCCGTTCTCTGCTTTCCATGACCCCGCCCCGTTCTCCCGCTTTCCATCACCTGCCTCGTTCTCCTGCTTTCCATCACCCCGCCCCATTCTCCCTCTTTCCATCACCCCGCCCCATTCTCCCGCTTTCCATCACCCGCCCCATTCTCCCGCTTTCCATCACCCGCCCCATTCTACGGCATTCCATCACCCCGCCCCATTCTCCCGCTTTCCATCACCCCGCCCCATTCTCCAACTTTCCATCGTCCCGCCCCATTCTCCCGCTCTCCATCACCCCGCCCCATTCTCCCGCATGAGGGCATGAGGGCATGAGGGCATGAGGGCGTGAGGGCATGAGGGCGTGAGGGCATGAGGGCATGAGGGCATGAGGGCGTGAGGGCATGAGGGCATGAGGGCATGAGGGCGTGAGGGCGTGAGGGCATGAGGGCATGAGGGCATGATGGCATGATGGTGCGAGGGCATGAGTGCATGAAGGCATGAGCTCATGAGGGCATGGGGCATGAGGGCATGAGGGCATGAGGGCATGAGGGCATGAGGGCATGAAGGCATGAGGGCATGAGGGCATAAGGGCATGAGGGCATGAGGGCATGAGGGCATGATGTCGTGATTGCATGAGGGCATGAGGGCATGATAGTGTGAGGGCATGCGTGCATGAGGGCATGAGGGCATGAGGGCATGAGGGCATAAGGGCATGAGGGCATGAGGGCATGAGGGCATGAGGGCGTGAGGGCATGAGGGCATGAGGGCATGAGGGCGTGAGGGCATGAGGGCGTGAGGGCATGAGGGCATGAGGGCGTGAGGGCATGAGGGCATGAGGGCGTGAGGGCATGAGGGCATGAGGGCGTGAGGGCATGAGGGCATGAGGGCGTGAGGGCATGAGGGCATGAGTGCATGAGGGAATAAAGGCATGATGGCGTGAGGGAATGAGTGCATGAGGGCATGAGGGCATGAGGGCATGAGGGCATGAGGGCATGAGTGCATGAGGGCATGAGGGCATGAGGGCATGAGGGCATGAGGGCATGAGGGCGTGAGGGCATGAGGGCATGAGTGCATGAGGGCATGAGGGCATGATGGCGTGAGGGCATGAGAGCATGAGGGCATGAGGGCATGAGGGCATGAGGGCATGAGTGCATGAGGGCATGAGTGCATGAGTGCATGAGTACATGAGGGCAGGAGTACATGAGGGCATGAGGGCATGAGGGCATGAGGGCGTGAGGGCATGAGGGCGTGAGGGCATGAGGGCGTGACGGCATGGGGGCATGAGGGCATGAGGGCATGAGGGCGTGAGGGCATAAGGGCCTGAGGGCATGAGGGCATGAAGGCATGAGGGCATGAGGGCATGAGGGCATGAGGGCATCTGGGCGTGAGGGCATGAGGGCATGAGGGCGTGAGGGCATGAGGGCATGAGGGCATGAGGGCATGAGGGGATGAGGGCATGAGGGCATGAGGGCATGAGGGCGTGAGGGCATGAGGGCATGAGGGCATGAGGGCGTGAGGGCATGAGGGCATGAGGGCATGAGGGCGTGAGGGCATGAGGGCATGAGGGCGTGAGGGCATGAGGGCATGAGGGCATGAGGGCATGAGGGCGTGAGGGCATGAGGGCGTGAGGGCATGAGGGCATGAGGGCATGAGGGCATGAGGGGATGAGGGCATGAGGGCATGAGGGCATGAGGGCGTGAGGGCATGAGGGCATGAGGGCGTGAGGGCATGAGGGCATGAGGGCATGAGGGCGTGAGGGCATGAGGGCATGAGGGCGTGAGGGCATGAGGGCATGAGGGCATGAGGGCATGAGGGCGTGAGGGCATGAGGGCGTGAGGGCATGAGGGCATGAGGGCATGAGGGCATAAGGGCATGAGGGCGTGAGGGCATGAGGGCATGAGGGCATAAGGGCGTGAGGGCATGAGGGCATGAGGGCGTGAGGGCATGAGGGCATGAGGGCATGAGGGCATGAGGGCATGAGGGTGTGAGGGCATGAGGGCATGAGGGCATGAGGGCATGAGGGCATGAGGGCATGAGGGCATGAGGGCATAAGGGCGTGAGGGCATGAGGGCATGAGGGCATGAGGGCGTGAGGGCATGAGGGCATGAGGGCATGATGGCGTGAGGGCATGAGTGCATGAGGGCATGAGCTCATGAGGGCATGGGGGCATGAGGGCATGAGGGCATGAGGGCATGAGGGCATGAGGGCGTGAGGGCGTGAGGGCATGAGGGCGTGAGGGCATGAGGGCATGAGGGCATGATGACATGATTGCATGAGGGCATGAGGGCATGATGGCGTGAGGGCATGAGTGCATGAGGGCATGAGGGCATGAGGGCATGAGGGCATGAGGGCATGAGGGCAGGAGTGTATGAGGGCATGAGGGGATGAGGGAATGAGGGCATCAGGGTATGACGGCGTGAGGGCATGAGGGTATGAGGGCGTGAGGGCATGAGGGCATGAGGGCATGAGGGCATGAGGGCATGAGGGCATGAGGGCATGAGGGCATGAGGGCGTGAGGGCATGAGGGCGTGAGGGCATGAGGGCGTGAGGGCATGAGGGCGTGAGGGCATGAGGGCGTGAGGGCATGAGGGCATGAAGGCATGAGGGCATGAGGGCATGAGGGGATGAGGGCATGAGGGCATGAGGGCATGATGGCGTGAGGGCATGAGGGCACGAGGGCATGAGGGCATGAGGGCATGAGGGCATGAAAGGATGAGGGCATGAGGGCGTGAGGGCATGAGGGCATGAGGGCATGATGGCGTGATTGCATGAGGGCATGAGGGCATGATGGCGTGAGGGCATGAGTGCATGAGGGCATGAGGGCATGAGGGCATGAGGGCATGAGTGCATGAGGGCATGAGGGCATGAGGGCATGAGGGCATCAGGGTATTAGGGCGTGAGGGCATGAGGGCGTGAGGGCATGAGGGCATGAGGGCATGAGGGCGTGAGGGCGTGAGGGCATGAGGGCATGAGGGCGTGAGGGCATGAGGGCGTGAGGGCATGAGGGCATGAGGGCATGAGGGCGTGAGGGCGTGAGGGCGTCAGTGCATGAGGGCATGAAGGCATGAGGGCATGAGGGCATGAGGGGATGAGGGCATGAGGGCATGAGGGCATGATGGCGTGAGGGCATGAGGGCATGAGGGCGTGAGGGCATGAGGGCATGAGGGCATGAGGGCATGAAAGGATGAGGGCATGAGGGCGTGAGGGCATGAGGGCGTGAGGGCATGAGGGCATGAGGGCATGAGAGCATGAGGGCATGAGGGCATGAGGGCGTGAGGGCATGAGGGCATGAGGGCATAAGGGCATGAGGGCGTGAGGGCATGAGGGCATGAGGGCATGAGGGCATGAGGGCATGAGGGCATGAGGGCGTGAGGGCATGAGGGCGTGAGGGCATGAGGGCATGAGGTATGAGGGCGTGAGGGCATGAGGGCATGAGGGCATGAGGGCGTGAGGGCGTGAGGGCATGAGGGCATGAGGGCATGATGGCATGATGGTGCGAGGGCATGAGTGCATGATGGCATGAGCTCATGAGGGCATGGGGGCATGAGGGCATGAGGGCATGAGGGCATGAGGGCATGAGGGCATGAAGGCATGAGGGCATGAGGGCATAAGGGCATGAGGGCATGAGGGCATGAGGGCATGATGTCGTGATTGCATGAGGGCATGAGGGCATGATAGTGTGAGGGCATGCGTGCATGAGGGCATGAGGGCATGAGGGCATGAGGGCATAAGGGCATGAGGGCATGAGGGCATGAGGGCATGAGGGCGTGAGGGCATGAGGGCATGAGGGCATGAGGGCGTGAGGGCATGAGGGCGTGAGGGCATGAGGGCATGAGGGCGTGAGGGCATGAGGGCATGAGGGCGTGAGGGCATGAGGGCATGAGGGCGTGAGGGCATGAGGGCATGAGGGCGTGAGGGCATGAGGGCATGAGTGCATGAGGGAATAAAGGCATGATGGCGTGAGGGAATGAGTGCATGAGGGCATGAGGGCATGAGGGCATGAGGGCATGAGGGCATGAGTGCATGAGGGCATGAGGGCATGAGGGCATGAGGGCATGAGGGCATGAGGGCGTGAGGGCATGAGGGCATGAGTGCATGAGGGCATGAGGGCATGATGGCGTGAGGGCATGAGAGCATGAGGGCATGAGGGCATGAGGGCATGAGGGCATGAGTGCATGAGGGCATGAGTGCATGAGTGCATGAGTACATGAGGGCAGGAGTACATGAGGGCATGAGGGCATGAGGGCATGAGGGCGTGAGGGCATGAGGGCGTGAGGGCATGAGGGCGTGAGGGCATGAGGGCATGAGGGCATGAGGGCATGAGGGCGTGAGGGCATGAGGGCATGAGGGCATGAGGGCATGAAGGCATGAGGGCATGAGGGCATGAGGGCATGAGGGCATGAAAGGATGAGGGCATGAGGGCGTGAGGGCATGAGGGCGTGAGGGCATGAGGGCATGAGGGCATCAGAGCGTGAGGGCATGAGGGCATGAGGGCGTGAGGGCATGAGGGCATGAGGGCATGAGGGCATAAGGGCATGAGGGCGTGAGGGCATGAGGGCATGAGGGCATGAGGGCATGAGGGCATGAGGGCATGAGGGCATGAGGGCATGAGGGCATGAGGGCGTGAGGGCATGAGGGCGTGAGGGCATGAGGGCATGAGGGCATGAGGGCGTGAGGGCATGAGGGCATGAGGGCATGAGGGCGTGAGGGCATGAGGGCATGAGTGCATGAGGGCATGAGGGCATGATGGCGTGAGGGCATGAGTGCATGAGGGCATGAGCTCATGAGGGCATAGGGGCATGAGGGCATGAGGGCATGAGGGCATGAGGGCATGAGGGCATGAAGGCATGAGGGCATGAGGGCATAAGGGCATGAGGGCATGAGGGCATGAGGGCATGATGTCGTGATTGCATGAGGGCATGAGGGCATGATAGTGTGAGGGCATGCGTGCATGAGGGCATGAGGGCATGAGGGCATGAGGGCATAAGGGCATGAGGGCATGAGGGCATGAGGGCATGAGGGCGTGAGGGCATGAGGGCATGAGGGCATGAGGGCGTGAGGGCATGAGGGCGTGAGGGCATGAGGGCATGAGGGCGTGAGGGCATGAGGGCATGAGGGCGTGAGGGCATGAGGGCATGAGGGCGTGAGGGCATGAGGGCATGAGGGCGTGAGGGCATGAGGGCATGAGTGCATGAGGGAATAAAGGCATGATGGCGTGAGGGAATGAGTGCATGAGGGCATGAGGGCATGAGGGCATGAGGGCATGAGTGCATGAGGGCATGAGGGCATGAGGGCATGAGGGCATGAGGGCATGAGGGCGTGAGGGCATGAGGGCATGAGTGCATGAGGGCATGAGGGCATGATGGCGTGAGGGCATGAGAGCATGAGGGCATGAGGGCATGAGGGCATGAGGGCATGAGTGCATGAGGGCATGAGTGCATGAGTGCATGAGTACATGAGGGCAGGAGTACATGAGGGCATGAGGGCATGAGGGCATGAGGGCGTGAGGGCATGAGGGCGTGAGGGCATGAGGGCGTGACGGCATGGGGGCATGAGGGCATGAGGGCATGAGGGCGTGAGGGCATAAGGGCCTGAGGGCATGAGGGCATGAAGGCATGAGGGCATGAGGGCGTGAGGGCATGAGGGCATAAGGGCGTGAGGGCATGAGGGCATGAGGGCGTGAGGGCATGAGGGCATGAGGGCATGAGGGCATGAGGGGGATGACGGCATGAGGGCATGAGGGCATGAGGGCGTGAGGGCATGAGGGCATGAGGGCATGAGGGCGTGAGGGCATGAGGGCATGAGGGCATGAGGGCGTGAGGGCATGAGGGCATGAGGGCGTGAGGGCATGAGGGCATGAGGGCATGAGGGCATGAGGGCGTGAGGGCATGAGGGCGTGAGGGCATGAGGGCATGAGGGCATGAGGGCATGAGGGGATGAGGGCATGAGGGCATGAGGGCATGAGGGCGTGAGGGCATGAGGGCATGAGGGCGTGAGGGCATGAGGGCATGAGGGCATGAGGGCGTGAGGGCATGAGGGCATGAGGGCGTGAGGGCATGAGGGCATGAGGGCATGAGGGCATGAGTGCATGAGGGCATGAGGGCGTGAGGGCATGAGGGCATGAGGGCATGAGGGCATAAGGGCATGAGGGCGTGAGGGCATGAGGGCATGAGGGCATAAGGGCGTGAGGGCATGAGGGCATGAGGGCGTGAGGGCATGAGGGCATGAGGGCATGAGGGCATGAGGGGATGAGGGCATGAGGGCATGAGGGCATGAGGGCGTGAGGGCATGAGGGCATGAGGGCATGAGGGCGTGAGGGCATGAGGGCATGAGGGCATGATGGCGTGAGGGCGTGAGGGCATGAGGGCATGAGGGCATGAGGGCATGAGGGCGTGAGGGCATGAGGGCGTGAGGGCATGAGGGCATGAGGGCATGAGGGCATGAGGGCGTGAGGGCATGAGGGCGTGAGGGCATGAGGGCATGAGGGCATGAGGGCATGAGGGGATGAGGGCATGAGGGCATGAGGGCATGAGGGCGTGAGGGCATGAGGGCATGAGGGCATGAGGGCGTGAGGGCATGAGGGCATGAGGGCATGAGGGCGTGAGGGCATGAGGGCATGAGGGCGTGAGGGCATGAGGGCATGAGGGCATGAGGGCATGAGGGCGTGAGGGCATGAGGGCGTGAGGGCATGAGGGCATGAGGGCATGAGGGCATGAGGGCATGAGGGCATAAGGGCATAAGGGCGTGAAGGCATGAGGGCATGAGGGCATAAGGGCGTGAGGGCATGAGGGCATGAGGGCGTGAGGGCATGAGGGCATGAGGGCATGAGGGCATGAGGGGATGACGGCTTGAGGGCATGAGGGCATGAGGGCGTGAGGGCATGAGGGCATGAGGGCATGAGGGCGTGAGGGCATGAGGGCATGAGGGCATGAGGGCGTGAGGGCATGAGGGCATGAGGGCGTGAGGGCATGAGGGCATGAGGGCATGAGGGCGTGAGGGCATGAGGGCGTGAGGGCATGAGGGCGTGAGGGCATGAGGGCATGAGGGCATGAGGGCATGAAGGCATGAGGGCATGAGGGCATGAGGGCATGAGGGCATGAAGGCATGAGGGCATGAGGGCGTGAGGGCATGAGGGCATAAGGGCATGAGGGCATGAGGGCATGAGGGCGTGAGGGCATGAGGGCATGAGGGCATGAGGGCATGAGGGGATGAGGGCATGAGGGCATGAGGGCATGAGGGCGTGAGGGCATGAGGGCATGAGGGCATGAGGGCGTGAGGGCATGAGGGCATGAGGGCATGAGGGCGTGAGGGCATGAGGGCATGAGGGCGTGAGGGCATGAGGGCATGAGGGCATGAGGGCATGAGGGCGTGAGGGCATGAGGGCGTGAGGGCATGAGGGCATGAGGGCATGAGGGCATGAGGGATGACGGCATGAGGGCATGAGGGCATGAGGGCGTGAGGGCATGAGGGCATGAGGGCATGAGGGCGTGAGGGCATGAGGGCATGAGGGCATGAGGGCGTGAGGGCATGAGGGCATGAGGGCGTGAGGGCATGAGGGCATGAGGGCATGAGGGCATGAGGGCGTGAGGGCATGAGGGCGTGAGGGCATGAGGGCATGAGGGCATGAGGGCATGAGGGCATGAGGGCGTGAGGGCATGAGGGCATGAAGGCATGAGGGCATGAGGGCATGAGGGGATGAGGGCATGAGGGCATGAGGGCATGATGGCGTGAGGGCATGAGGGCATGAGGGCATGAGGGCATGAGGGCATGAAAGGATGAGGGCATGAGGGCATGAGGGCATGAGGGCGTGAGGGCATGAGGGCATGAGAGCATGAGGGCATGAGGGCATGAGGGCATGAGTGCATGAGGGCATGAGGGCATGAGTGCATGAGTGCATGAGTACATGAGGGCAGGAGTACATGAGGGCATGAGGGCATGAGGGCATGAGGGCGTGAGGGCATGAGGGCGTGAGGGCATGAGGGCGTGAGGGCATGAGGGCATGAGGGCATGAGGGCATGAGGGCGTGAGGGCATGAGGGCATGAGGGCATGAGGGCATGAGGGCATGAGGGGATGAGGGCATGAGGGCATGAGGGCATAAGGGCGTGAGGGCATGAGGGCGTGAGGGCATGAGGGCATGAGGGCATGAGGGCATGAGGGCATGAGGGGATGAGGGCATGAGGGCATGAGGGCATGAGGGCGTGAGGGCATGAGGGCATGAGGGCATGAGGGCATGAGGGCATGAGGGCGTGAGGGCATGAGGGCATGAGGGCATGAGGGCATGAGGGCATGAGGGCATGAGGGCATGAGGGCGTGAGGGCGTGAGGGCGTGAGGGCATGAGGGCATGAGGGCGTGAGGGCATGAGGGCATGAGGGCATGAGGGCGTGAGGGCATGAGGGCGTGAGGGCATGAGGGCATGAGGGCATGAGGGCATGAGGGCATGAGGGCATGAGGGCGTGAGGGCATGAGGGCATGAAGGCATGAGGGCATGAGGGGATGAGGGCATGAGGGCATGAGGGCATGATGGCGTGAGGGCATGAGGGCATGAGGGCATGAGGGCATGAGGGCATGAAAGGATGCAATTCTTGGAATCTTGGAATTTTGCAGACGCTAGGCCCTTGTTTTTGCAATTTTGCAGACGCTAGGCCCTTGTTCTTGAATTTGTAAAGATGCTAGGCCCTTGTTCTTGATTTTTTGCAGACGCTAGGCCCTTGTTCTTGGAATTTTGCATATGATAGGCCCTTGTTTTTGAATGTTTGCAGACGCTAGGCCCTTGTTCTTGAATTTGTGCAGACGCTAGGCCCTTGTTCTTGAATTTTTGCAGACGCTATGCCCTTGTTCTTGAATTTTTACAGACACTAGGCCCTTGTTCTTGCAATTTTGCAGATGCTATGCCCTTGTTCTTGAATTTTGCAGACGCTAGGCCCTTGTTCTTGAAGTTTTGCAGACGCTAGGCCCTTGTTCTTGAATTTTTGCAGACGCTAGGCCCTTGTTCTTGATTTTTTGCAGACGCTAGGCCCTTGTTCTTACAATTTTGCATATGATAGGCCTTTGTTTTTTAATATTTGCAGACGCTAGGCCCTTGTTCTTGAATTTGTGCAGACGCTAGGCCCTTGTTCTTGAATTTTTGCAGACGCTAGGCCCTTGTTCTTGTAATTTTGCAGACGCTAGGCCCTTGTTCTTGATTTTTTTTGCAGACGCTAGGCCCTTGTTCTTGGAATTTTGCATATGATAGGCCCTTGTTTTTTAATTTTTGCAGACGCTAGGCCCTTGTTCTTGGATTTTTGCAGACGCTAGGCCCTTGTTCTTGAATTTTTGCAGACGCTAGGCCCCTGTTCTTGCAATTTTGTAGACGCTAGGCCCTTGTTCTTGCAATTTTACAGACGCTAGGCCCTTGTTCTTGAGTTTTTGCAGACGCTAGGCCCTTGTTCTTGATTTTTTTGCAGACACCTAGGCCCTTGTTTTTTGCAATTTTGCAGATGCTAGGCCCTTGTTTTTGAATTTTTGCAGACGCTAGGCCCTTGTTCTTGAATTTGTGCAGACGCTAGGCCCTTGTTCTTGAATTTTTGCAGACGCTAGGCCCTTGTTCTTGCAATTTTGTAGACGCTAGGCCCTTGTTCTTGCAATTTTACAGACGCTAGGCCCTGGTTCTGAATTTTGCAGACACTAGGCCCTTGTTCTTGAATTTTTGCAGACGCTAGGCCCTTGTTATTGAATTTTTGCAGACGCTAGGCCCTTGTTCTTGAATTTTTGCAGACGCTAGGCCCTTGTTCTTGCAATTTTGCAGACGCTAGGCCCTTGTTCTTGAATTTTTTGCAGACGCTAGGCCCTTGTTCTTGAATTTTTTGCAGACGCTACGCCCTTGTTCTTGCAATTTTGCAGACGCTAGGTCCTTGTTCTTGAATTTTTGCAGACGCTAGGCCCTTGTTCTTGAATTTTTGCAGACGCTAGGGCCTTGTTCTTGCAATTTTGCAGACGCTAGGCCCTTGTTCTTGAATTTTTGCAGACGCTATGCCCTTGTTCTTGAATTTTTGCAAACGCTAGGCCCTTGTTCTTGAATTTTTGAAGACGCTAGGCCCTTGTTCTTGATTTTTTGCAGACACCTAGGCCCTTGTTCTTGCAATTTTTGCAGACGCTAGGCCCTTGTTTTTGAATTTTTGCAGACGCTAGGCCCTTGTTCTTGAATTTGTGCAGATGCTAGGCCCTTGTTCTTGAATTTTTTGCAGACGCTAGGCCCTTGTTCTTGCAATTTTGCAGACGCTAGGCCCTTGTTCTTGCAATTTGGCAGACGCTAGGCCCTTGTTCTTGAATTTTTTGCAGACGCTAGGCCCTTGTTCTTGAATTTTTGCAGACGCTAGGCCCTTGTTCTTGAGTTTTTGCAGACGCTAGGCCCTTGTTTCTAGATTTTTTTGCAGACACTTAGGCCCTTGTTCTTGCAATTTTGCAGATGCTAGGCCCTTGTTTTTGAATTTTTGCAGACGCTAGGCCCTTGTTCTTGAATTTGTGCAGACGCTAGGCCCTTGTTCTTTAATTTTTGCAGACGCTAGGCCCTTGTTCTTGCAATTTTGTAGACGCTAGGCCCTTGTTCTTGGAATTTTGCAGACGCTAGGCCCTTGTTCTTGAATTTGTAAAGATGCTAGGCCCTTGTTCTTGATTTTTTACAGACGCTAGGCCCTTGTTCTTGGAATTTTGCATATGATAGGCCCT